AAAAAAACTATGCCTTTGTAATGCAACGCATGGGTGCAAGCACAAAGAAAAGACGAACGGCAAGCCACAATTTCCAAAACTATGAAATGCCAAGACAAAAGTCGCAGCACCTTTGTTCTCGCAGACGAATCTAAGTGATTCGTTACACCCTCACAGGACTTCTGCATCACTCTGGAATGCAGCGTAAACATCCTTGATCAAAAGGATGAGCTTCCGGCGATCTCCGTTTCACTGCTTCCAGGTGGCATCAAGGCAAGCAATGGATGTTGCGTTGCCCTCAAATGGAGCATCAAGAGCACTTTGAGGTTTTCACATTGCCATGTTGCCCGCGGTGGTCCTCATATCCAAGCTCATTCAACATGAATGGACTGGACCCCGCGAGAACAGTCAACAATATTCAGGGGAATGTGCACAATCAAAACAATATCACAGGATATCACAGGATACCAGAATATCCATCGTCAGGAAGATCAGGAAGGCTCCCTGTTCTTCATCACCCCAAATAGATCGTGATAGTCAGTGACCAGCCGCCCGGGCGCCCGAACTGCGGCGGGTCTCGACCCCACGACCAAACCAGGCGCTGGACGACCTCAGACCGAAACCCTGCGGACTTGGGACGGAAATCCATCCGTTCATTGACATCATTGGTTTGTATGGTGGACTTACTGAGAGGTCTTGGATTGCAACTAGGCCAAGATGAAATTGTGGAGGTTCTCTTTGGGAAAAATTGGTCTACATATGGCTATACACGCCAGGTTATATAAACGACGCAAACAAGCATACCACATACCACCCTACGTCCAAAAACGTTCCTTTGCATTCATCCTCGCAGGTGGACCTGCACACTGGGCACCCTGCGATCCAGGTTGTTCGGGTTCGAGGGCTGCCTACACAACAGGCTCCACAGGCTTCATTCGTGCGGAGAACATCCCACAACTCGTCGATGACACAGGTGGAGAATACCGGCCAACTACCGCATCACCGCCAAAAAACAAGCATATACAGCATGTAAGCATGTTACACATACCGTACTTGCAGAGACATAGATCATGGATCCATTCAATTTCGTTCCGGACACTCACCTGACCGGTGACCTCCGTCGTCAGACCGCGCTTCGCGAGTGCCGCAAGAACGGCGCCTTTGCAAGGCTTCGGCACTCTCACCTGCACTCATTGGGCGGAAAAAGGAAGCAGTACAACTGAGTTGTCAAGTGGAGCCTCGAACATTTTAAGATGTTTCAAAAATTCGGAGTTGATTGACATGGTCCAAAGATCTAATGCACACTCTCCGAAACAATCATGGAAGTGGGCCCCTGGTCTGCTCAGCTCCATCATTCTCTGAGGGAGGGTATATAACGGGTAGAGAAAGCCCAAAGGTGGGGAGGAAAATAGATGAAACTAGTGGAAAATGTTGCCAAGGTGTCGCCCAAGGCACTGGAGCTCAGAATGCTGCAGTCCCTCAAAAAGCACCGGAACCTCATGCGCCAAGACGGACTTCGAAGGGCCGCACGGGTTGTTCGTTTGGGCTGGCTGTGATCAAAGTTGAGGACTCTTCCGCTACAATCATTGAGCAAAGGCAGGTACATATGTGTTCACGGCTTCAGACATGGACTTGGGTGTTCATGACCCACTTTGGTGAGTGGGCCATGTGGTCAGCCTGCACCAATTCACTCTAACTCTAGACTCCTCATGTAGCTGCTGGTCAAAACACAAAGAATCACACAAATGACATCCACATTTACGACTTTGACTCTGGACCTCACTCCAACCTTTACATACCCGGCACTCTTCCCACATCTGACAAACTCTGTTACGGTCTAGTCGACGTGGGAAGACGCCGCACGAAAAACCCGAGTTTCGAGTCAGAGGTCCATCCGAACGGAGACCTGCAGTCACAAAACGTGGGACACGTTGTAGGTTTGCAGTTCACCATGGCCTTGTAGTGCTCAAAGTTGCACCCCCTGGAGCTGTACAGTCCCCAGTGGCCTAGGCATGCGGCCCGGCAAATTCGGGAGTACTGTAAAGGAATGTCACTGTCTTGAAATCATCCAGCGTGCATCACTGCAGATCTATATTTGTTGAGTCTACTCTGCGATGGAAATTCCACTATATACATGTGTGTATCTTTTTACCGTAGTCGGGCCGGGAAGTTTGAGTAGATGGTATGATTCGAGGTATGATTCGGGGGTATGATTCGCAGATGATTCGCAGCTTTGAAGTTGTATTGTTGGATTAGCTGGACTTCCAGCAGTGGGCCCGCTCTGCTCCGAGGCAGTAGGCAAGCAGCATCTGTTGGATGCTGGGCAGACTAGGCAAATGCACTCTTCCACCCAAAGACTCCAGTGGCCCTGCAGGCCCCACCAAAACAACCAGGATGTGGGATGGGTGGGAGACTGTGTGGAGGTGCGTGATTCAGGTATGAATCGGGCATGAATCGGGTGTGATTTGTATGGCCATTAGATTCTGCAAAAGAAGGCGGTCCTTTGGCTCTTCTTCTCAAGGGAGAGCACATGGGAACATTATGAGTACCCCTGGGATGTGAGCCTTTGCTCTTCCCACGAGAAGACACAATGGCCAAATTGAGTGCTCATGGATCACACAATTGCAAACGTCATGCACCATTGGCTCATGGACATCTATATACAAGGCACAAAGACCAACCAAAAACTTCACCTTAACACCTGGTTCTTACGTGTAACGTTTTGAGGGGTATGATTCGGGGGTATGATTCGAGGTATGATTCGAGGGTATGAATCGCTCAAGTCGAACTTCCAACCACTACATCAGGAAGTACACGCCAAAAAAATACAAACCCGTTTCTGGATATCATATTTCACTTATCAAATCCATAATATATACATATCTCAACACCCGACCTAAAGCGAACGATCATAAACCCAAATGGGTAGCAGGATGTGGCTCAAGCTGTTTTTTCTACGTTGGGCCAAGTAGCATAGTGAAGGAAAACACGGCCTGGCCGAGCCGTCCCCTGCTCACAAGTCCGCAAACTCACCAAATTCATCATCTCCACCCATGCATGGAAAGGCTATGTCAAGAAATTTGCATGTGTAAAGACACGTGTCAAGAATCATGAAACAGCCAGGGTCTGCGGACCCTGGTGCTGACTCAGACAGTTGCTGAATTCTTTGTCCGCACTTGTGACCCCAATCCCGAAACAAACAAACTGCCGCTGCAACTGTTAAAGAACATTTCCTGGCCAGAAAAGGACCCCATCATACCACAAGGCGACCCCATGTCATTCAACACGGCAACTTGCTGCGATGCGGTGGCTCCAACTGAAGAATCACTTTTTTACCAACACAAAGCATCACACTGCCAAAAAAAGTGATGTTCATGAAACAAGTCATCCTTCAAGGCATCATCATCATTTCTGCCTAGGGCCTAGTCAATTAAACAACATGGAATTGTGCATCGGCAACTGCTTTGATGAACATGATTCACCTTTCCCCGGCCTGCCAACGACTGCAGGTGTGGATAAAAATAGGGAGGCAGCTGCTCCGCCTCAGTATGGTGGGATGCTGAACACTGTCCGTCTGCACAGGCAAGCTGTCAAACTGCCAGCTGCATGTTCACCAATCCAGCCACAGGAAGGATCACGCTGCAGTTCCTTTGTTTGCCCGAGGCCACGTCAAGTAGCACTGGATGAGCGGTCCACTGGGTAGCCGACCGGAACAGCCTCAGCATCACCCAGATCGGGGGCAGGATGGGCATTCGCTTTGGAAGGCCTCGGGATGATGCTGCAATCGACCCGGCCAGCTGCCACCAGTCTGAGAGTGTCGTTTTATTTTCAGTCCGAACCATCTAAAAAAACATGGGCATGCACTCGATGCACTCTTATTTGTGTGTTCTACCTTTGGCTCTCACGCAGCCGACGCATGCCGACGCCACCTGGTTCTTGCTGCACGTCGCTTTTCCATTCATGCAAATCCAACCCGCAGCGCCTACTTGCAGTGTCAGCTTGGCCAATGTCGATGGGCTCTGCCTAGCAGGATAATAACCCAAATGGCGTGAGCGCCTCTCACCAGAAAAGCAGTGGGTATAGTCATGGATTGTGAGTTCTCTCTCCAATTCTGCATTCTGTGGCTAGAGCAAAACATGTCTGCCCACAAGTTGGCTGGAGGTCCTGGTCCGGCTCACGACTCTTGAGATGGTGGATTCCGTCGCCACAGTCAAATCCACATGAAACAACTACTCTCCTGGACCTCAAACATAGACTTCCAGCCCAACCCCAACAAGTGCAACGATGTGCAATGGACTGTTGCCCTCCCATCGTCCAGGACCCTGCCTCTGGCTCCAGGTTTCGATCAGCACCTCGCAACGAAGTTGTGCAAGGTTTCGATGGTGAGGCGTCAAGTTCCAAGCGGTCGTGATCCCCCACACATCGGGTCAATTGGGGGCCCTACTGGTATATACGATCACCCACCTGTTGTGCTCGCTGGGCGGGGGGGGTGAGCCGGTGAGCCCAAGTGAGTTCAACAGAATTCACCGGCTTGATTCTTGAATATTGAAAGAAAAAACGACTCCAAGAAAGGGCAATCATAGGATGTTGGGACGTATGATGAAGTGCAATTCCATCTTGCTGCACTTCTGATTCTTCTCATTCTGAGTCGATCTGATCAAACGACGAATGGTCTTGGAGCAAGAATGAGTTGTCAATGGTATAACTGGCATCAGCAACGCCAGTCCGTTCGATCATTCTTCTGGTCAGCAGCTTGAGGGTTCTACATTCCCTTCAAGATGACTGCGCATTACAAAAGGATGCTTTCGATAGTTGCCCAAAAACATCCAAAAACAATGATAAACAAACATATGGACAGCTGAGCCCCCAAAACAACAACCAACACATACTGTAATGTGTATGTGTATGTGTATATATACATATATATATATATATATGTGTGTGTGTGCGCGCGTGTGCTGAGGTCTAGTGACTTAGGAAATATAAGGCTAGTGACATGGTCGGCTGGAATGGCCCACTCCTGGCTCATGTGCCTGGTGAAAAGGCCTGCGAAACTTAAAAAAGTTACTTTACTTCGAGTGATCCCCACCATGACATTTCAATCAATTGACTTGATGCCATAGTGAGGAGCATGTTGCCATGGTCGTGAGTATTGTAGTTCTCGATTTTGCTTGTGGGTCCTCGGGTTGTGTGCTGCGGTTGTGTGTTGTGGTTGTGGTTGTGTGCTGTGTTGTGGTTGTGGTTGTGTTTGTGATTGCGTGTTTGTGGTTGTGCTTGTGTTTGTGTGTTGTGGTTGTGTGTTGTGGTTGTGTTTGTGGTTGTGTGTTTGTGGTTGTGTGTTTGTGGATGTGTTTGTGGTTGTGTTTGTAGTTGTGTGTATGTGGTTGTGTTTGTGGTTGTGTGTTGTGGTTGTGTTTGTGATTGTGTTTGTGGTTGTGTGTTGTGGTTGTGGTTGTGATTGTGCTTGTGATTGTGTATTTGTGATTGTGTGTTTCTGGTTGTGCTTGTGGTTGTGTGTTTGTGGTTGTGTGTGGTTGTGTCTTTGTGGTTGTGTTGTTGTGATTGTGTGTTTGTGGTTGTGTGTTTGTGGTTGTGTTTGTGGTTGTGTGTCTATTGTTGTGTGATTGTGGGTGTGCGTTTGTTGTTATGTGTGCGGTTGCGTTTGTGGTTGTGTGTTTGTGGTTGTGTTTGTGGTTGTGTCTTTGTGGTTATCTGCCATTCAATCTGCCATTCTATCTGGCAATCTATCTGACATACAATACTATCTGGCATTTTGTCTGGCATACTATCTGGCATTTTGTCTGGCATACTATCTGTCATTCTATCTGGCATATCTTCTGGCATTCTATCTGGCATTTTATCGGGCATTCTATCTGGCATTTTATCTGGCATATTTTCTGGCATTCTATCTGGCAATGTATCTAGCAATCTATCTGACACACTTTTTGGCATACTATCTGGCATATCTTCTTGCAGCATTCTATCTGGCAATCTACCTGGCATTCTATCTGGCAAACTATCTGGTTGAGGTCCAGCGGTGCACACTGCGATCGGATCCTTGCGGTTGAGGTCCAGCGGTGCACACTGCGATCGGATCCTTGCGGTTGAGGTCCAGGGGTGCACGCTGCGATCGGATCCTTGCGGTTGAGGTCCAGGGATGCACACTGCGATCGGATCCTTGCGGTTGAGGTCCAGGTGTGCACACTGCGATCGGGTCCTTGCGGTTGAGGTCCAGGGGTGCACACTGCGATCCGGAGCTGGCCACGCAAGATCGGCGAAGCAGATTGGCGAGGAAGGAAGCAAGGAGGAAGAGGAGGACGAGGAGGCGGCGGAGGCGGAGGCGGAGGAGGAAGAACAGCTGTGATAAAATCTAACAACCCTCACCTGGCAGGTGGGGAATAACAAAAACTGTTGAAATCAATGTTTGAGAGGTGCATCATGACAAAGAAAACAAGTGTCCAGCAAAAGTCCTTGGTCATTGTCCAGAATCCTTGTTGTTCATCGTTTCTATTTCTCTAATGTGCTCCAGAAGTCCTGTTTTGTAGTATTCAAGCTGATGACTTAGGTCAAACGTGACTTCCTTTCCCTGATCACTTGGGATGATCTAATTTTGGCGTATCTCCGTTAGTAATATACTGTATTGTGTATATATGTGTATATACGTTGGACCATGCTGTATGGAACATTTGAGGATGCCCCCTTTAACCCCCTTTTTCATCCTTTTTATCTCAATCCATGTTTTCTAGATTGGTCAACCCATGTAGCCCTCCCTTCCAAGCAACTCTCTAAACACGGTCAAAAATCCGACTTCGGTTGATGCCTGAGCTTGCACGCCTGTCTTGCTGGCTGTTGCCAATCCACCGGGCAAACCACTTTGGAGAGCGGTGTGAGTGATGACTGATGCATCACTCTTTTCAAGTTTCTAGGTGTCACCCAAAAGGAACTGTCAGTACCAGCCCACAAGTATAGGGTCGGTTGAAGACACCTTGGATGGTCCAGGTGTTCATGATCAGCCCTTAGTGGTTTCGATGTGTATAGACCTTAAGCTGCGTCGCTCGGTTGAAACCGGTCAAGGCACGGCGCCACAAACATGTCTGCCGCACGAGTGAAGCAACTCGTCGGGCTCATCGGGTCTCTGAGGCCAACCTGAAGAAGCAAGTCAACTTATTCTTAATTCTAAATTAAATTAATAGCTTTTTGTTACTACTAGTAAGGCACTTGTTACTACTAGCGTGGCACTTGTTACTAGTAGTAACAAGAATAAACAATTCAAAAAAAAAGACTTTGCTGAGGTGGTCGATGCACAGAATTGTAGGGATTGCAATTGAACAGTTGTAGAAGGAAATGAACGTGAATGAACCCATTCGATATCATTCGATGCCTGCTGTTGGGTTGACATGGACTCCTCAATCAGCAAGTCTGAACTGGGTCCAATTGATGCCGTTCGCATCTGAGGTTGCTGCCAGCTTTCACTGGTGAGTTCATCTCGTCTACCTCTCCGACCAATTGTTCCTTGTCCTGATTGACTGCAGGTGATTCCTCTAGCGAGAGAAACCGGGTTGGCTCCTGAACAGCTCGAGGTGGCTCCTGAACCACCAGGGGTGGTTCCTCCTGAACAACCACGGGTGGCTCCTCCTCTTGAACCACCGCGGGTGGTTCCTCCT